GGGGGGGGGGGGGCCTTTGCTGACTGGGCGATCCTGTGAGTGCGGCGAATATGATGACGTCCAGCAGGGCGTATGAGATGAGGTGCCGCACCGACTCACCCACCGCAGTACGGCCAGTGGCACACGACAGAGACCCTACACACATACACAGAGAGAGAGGGAGACAGAGAGAGGCGCATTCGTGTGCGTGGCCATCCCATCCACAGACCCATGCCCACCTTCAGGCATGTCCATGAAGTTGAATCCCAGAAAGATCGGGAAGCCTGTCGCAGCGAAGACCGAGTGGACGGTCGAGACCACCGCCAGACACACCAGCAGCAGACAAGGTGGGGAGGCGCCTGAAGTTGTGTCGCTGCTGGTGTGGAGGAGGTGTATGCCCGTGGCCGTTGCTGCCACGGCCAGTAGGGAAATCGCCTGAGAGACCGACACGTGCAGTTGTGTGTGCTGCCATCCATCCATCCAGCCATTTGCCCACACACGCACCTGGGCCACCATCCCGGTGCAGAAGAGCTTGTTGACTTGAATGCGCCGGCTCGCCACAGCCCAGCCGAGCGAAGACACACCTGCCAGTCCAGCCAGCATCACACACACACACACACACACAGACACACAAAGACACCCACATGCGACGTGCGAAGCTTCTTTCCCTTCACTTTGTCATTCACCAACCGTAGCATAGCGCCCAGACAGAGAAGAGCACACACGGCAGCCACCCATTGCGGAAAAAGGCTGTGTACGTCGGAGACGGTGCTGCTGCTGGTGGTGTTGGTGTTAGTGGTGGTGGTGGGAAGGTGTGCTGTAAGGCCGAGACGGCCAGGGCGAAGATGATGTGCCCGGAGGCCGGGGCCAGGCAGTAGCCAAGCAGGATCAGCCAGTTCCTGCACATCCATCCATCCATCCACATACACACACCGTTGGGCTGTCAACACCGACCTGATGGCGACTTCGCCGCCGAGTCCCTGCCACGCCATTATGTGCACCAGCCACTGACGCATCCTGCTGTAGGAAGAGTCATGCTCGGTGCCTGCGTGTTCGTCAACTGACCACACACACACACACACACACAGAGAGAGAGAGAGAGACATAGAGGCGGGCGGTGTGTGTGTACCTGCCCTCTCTCTGTCTGGATGATGCTGTGGTTGAGGGCCCCCTCCAGAGGACAAGCCGAACTGGTAGAGTGCGTGCGCCTGCTTGACCACAGACGCCATCGTGACCTGCTTCTTCGTCATGACACTGGGGGAGGAGCCCTCCACACACAC